GAGACACTGATATATCTCTCTCCCCGAGACACTGATATTGGTTTCTCTCCCTGAGACACTGATATATCTCTCTCCCCGAGACACTGATATATCTCTCTCCCTGAGACACTGATATAGGTCTCTCTCCCTGAGACACTGATATATTTCTGGTCTGCACACTCACATCCTCCTGACGACCCGCAGCTCTCCCTCGGCCCCCGCTTTCCCAACCACATCCTCAGCCTCACGCTCAGCCTCAGGCTGAGGCCTGGGCCTGGGCCTGGGCCCATGGAGCCGGACTCGGAGCAACCCCAACATCAGCTTCCGTCTCCACGGTAACACACCCCGCCCGCAGCGACCGCCCAACGCCCCTGATTGGTTGGAGAGTGTTGCTCCCCGATTGGCCAGACACATTGGAGTTCCCCGAGTGGCCGACGTAATAGGAGCTCCCCGATTGGCCAGACGTATTTGTGATCGCTGATTGGCCAGAGCCTGAGACCCTGATTGGTATTTGTATTTTGAACTCTTTTATTGGTCAGAATGTTCGACGCTGCGTCGCCGTTTGGTCTGGGAGTTTTCTGATTGGTCAGAGCCAAGGACTGCAATTGGTCAGTGGTACAGGTGCACTGTGATTGGTTAGTTCCCTCGATTTCTGATTGGTCAGCGCAATAGGATTTCTGCGATTGGTCAGGATTATAGGTGGTCTGTGATTGCTCAGAGCTTCGGATTGCAATTGGTCAGCGGGATAATCTCTCTGTGATTGGTCAGACCTTAAGACTCCAATTGGTCGGAGCAGGGGGTGGCCTCTGATTGGTCAGTGTGGTAGTGATTGGTCAGATATTGGGACTGTGATTGGTCAAAGTGAGAGAGAAGGAGAACCGTCATTGGTCAGAGGGAGAGATCCTATTGATTTCTATTCGAGAGATCCCAGGCTGTGAGATGTTTGGGGGCAGCTCAGGGAACTAAGTGGGACTAAGAAACAAGGCTCTCTCTCGCAGCTCAGGAAGTCTGTGATGTTTCCAAACCTGAAGTGTTTGGGTAGTGAGAAAGCTGCCGCTTATTGTAGTGAGAAAGTTTAAGCTCTGACTCGTCGAATGATCTTTTCCTGATCTATCATCCAATCGCATCCACAATTATTGAACGAAACCGTTAGGTATGTAGAAATGGGCCCGTAAATGCTCTGGTGTTGAAGCTCTGTAAACGAATGATGTTGGCAACATGGAACTGTATAGCACAGAAACAGACCCTCCGGCCCAACTTGTCTATGTCAACCAGATATCCTAAATCAATCTAGTCCCATTTGCCCGCATTTGGCCCATATCCCTCTAAACCCTTCCTATTCATGTACCCATCCAGATACTTTTTTAAAATGTTATAATTGTACCAAACTCCACCACTTCCTCTGGTAGTTCATTCCATACAAACACCACCGTCTGCGTGATAAAATTCCCCCTTTGGTCCCTTTTAAATCTTTCCCCTCTCACCTTAAACCTATGCCCTCTAGTTTTGGACTCTTCTCGCCTGGGGTCAAAGAGCTTTGTCTATTTCTCCTATCCATGCCCCTCATGATTTTATAAACCTCTGTAAGGTCACCTCTCAGCCTCCGACACTCTAGGGAAAACAGCCCAACGCCTATTCAACCTCTCCCCGTAGCTCAACCCCTCCAACATCCTTGGAAATCTTTTTTGAACCCTTTCAAGTTTAACAACATCCCTCCTAAAGCAGGGAGACCAGAATTAAACACAGTATTCCAAAAATGGCCGATCTAACGTCCCGTAGATCTCCAACATGATCTCCCAATTCCTATACGCAATGCACTGACCAATAAGGGCAAGCGTACCATAACTTGATGGAAAACTCTGTCTTGTGGAGCGTTTTGGATTTGCAAAGCCTGGTTCTGATGTGCCCTCGTGTGACTCTAGCTCATTGACTGTCCCACCCACATTTAACTAAAATACAAAACAACAGACCAAGAAAAACGGCCTGGTTTCAGCATTATGGGAGCAGACCCATCCGGCAATCCCATAAAACTGGGATCATAATAAAATGCAGCAGCTAATTAGCGCAGAGTAAGTTTCCACAAACGGCAAGAAGACACAGGGAGGTGCTGAGAGTCCTGGATTGGCAGGGAAGTGTCAGGCAGGACAACGGAGAGAACGCTTCTTCGAGATGTGCCTACCTGGAGACAGCAGGGTTCCTGATCTCCTCCGAGCCCTGCAGGTCGAAATGACAGCCTGGAAGCGGGTGTGGTAGGTGTAACCCCAGTCAGGCTGCTTCATCCCCCGCCCTGGACGCCTTTTAGTAACTTTGTCAGCCAGCATGTCCTCCCTTGACCACCATGGCTGGGGCAACAACCTCTTCCATCTCCCCCAATCTCCGCCATCCACCCCTCTCCCACCCACATCCCCCACTGTCACTGTCCCTCCCTCCATCCATCCATCTCCCCCTTCTGCTACTGCACCTCCCTCAATGTCTACTTGTCCACCCCGCTCTTTCTACCGCGATTCTTCCATTTTCCCTCCCTCCCCGTTTGCCTGCCTCGCCCCAACCTTTTCACACCCTCCCATACCATCCTCTCTCCCTGCCTGTGTACTCTTCCCCCAACCTGCCCTGCCTGCTCCCCCTGCTTATTTCCCCATCCCTACCTACTCCTCCCTCTCTCCCTGCCTGTTTCCCCCACTTGTACCCCCTCTCGCTGCCCATATCCCAACCCCCCCGCCCCAGCCTCTGCCCCATGATGACTATTCCGTGAGAATATTGAGTGTGAGCGAAGTGGTGCCCATTTTGCTGATGACTGTAGACTGTTCATTTCTACAGGACACCAGGCAACACGATGTGTGATTCAAGTATTTATTATAGAAATCAGGAAACATACAAATCCCATTCAAAGGAGCAGAACCGACCAGGTACCACTCTCACTCAGCGAATCATTGAAGATGGACGTTTCTGTTTGTGTATGTCCTGCCCTCTGGGATTCAGGGTGAATCCCAGGTCCAGGTCTCCTGCATTCAGGGGTATCTATGTCTCCCGGACGCTCCTTGCTCCCAGGATGATCACTCAGGAATGTCAATGACAAGGTCATCGTCACCCTCCATCGCGTCGTCGTCACTTCCCTCACCAGTATCACTGAACATCTGGTGGGGGACGGTGCTGAGGATGGTGGTGGGAGGCAGCTTGGAGGAGAGGGCCGAGAGTGGATCAG